ACCTCTCTGTACATCTCCACCTGTGCCACCTGTAGCCTCCCAGGCCTTTGAGCTACCTCTGCTTCCAGCTCCCAGGGCTCACGTGCTTGTCTTGGTGAGAGCACTAGGAATCTAGGACAGGGGCTGAGTCGTCCTCAGCTGTGCTCCCAGCTGCTCACCCACCAGGCCTGACTTCTGGAAGGTGCTTGAAGGTCGGCAGTGAATGGGGGAAATGCTGCTGGACTTGGTTTCAGAGGCAACGTCCAGCCCTTCTCTGAACTCCACACAGCACAGCTTTCTTTACCAAAGCGAGCTGCAGACAGAAGCAGTCTGCTGCCTCACCGTGATGTGGTGACTCAGGGGATAACTGTGGGCAGGGGGGCTTTCCAGCAACCTAGTTAGCTGAAACCACACAGCAGCCTTCCCAGCCTGTGGGGTGACCTACTTCTCAATTCCTGTAGCCTCGACGCCCAGCCGGCAGAATGCTGATGAGGGGAGTCATGCTGGCCTCTGATGAATAAAGGGGACAGAGATGCCACTGATTGATTTGACCTTGCAGAGCGGTGGGGACAGGATGTTCTGCTTTCTGATGCTGGGAAGTGGTCTGGGTAAAGGGGACTTCCTGCTAATCTTCCTAAGGAAGGAGACAGCAAAGGCCACCTCGTTACTACCTAGTTTTTATTCAGACCCCTCCAACCTTACTGGGTGTATTTCCCAAGTAGATAAAAGGTGAAGTCCCAAAGGGTTCCTCACCCAAGTCCTTGTTTTGAGTTTTAGAGCTGAGGTGAAAATTGGACTCCCCGAGTATCATTGAACTGGGTTCCCATGAGGTTGGCAGCTGGTTGCTACATCTGGATTGGTGCAAGTGCTCCCATTTCAAGTGCTCCCCATCTCAAGTGCTCCCATCTCAGCATCCCTGGCAGGAGGAACTGCTGTGGGGCATCAAGGTGACTCACACTACCTCAGCCCACCCAGCCCACAGAGATGCAAAGACGCCCAGCCCAGCCACCGGTGTCTTCTTCTTTTCTCCTGTCTGTTCTGAACTCTGCAATTACACCTCCTTCTGAGTGAATCTTTCCCAGGTTATCTCCATCTCTGCTCCACAGGGATGGCCCAGATTTCCCTCCTGGGACTCCTGTCAGTCAAAAACCTTTCTAATTGGCTGTGTTTTCTCTCTCACTGCTCTGCTCTCTCTGCCAGGGCATCCCTGGGACCCAGCAACCTCCAGAGCACCTTCAGTCCCAGAAAGGCAGAGGGCCTGAGGATACTGACCCATAGGTACAAAAGACGCCAGGCGACAGCCCATCCTACAGGAACCAGAATTTTAGATAGCCACACTTTGTGAGTTTTAATTGGAGGAGGACAGTGTGGAATAGTAGAAGCAGGCCTTTGGAGTAGGATGGCTTAGCCTGGCTTGCCTCCCTCTGCATTTACTGCCTGCAGGCTGCGTGTGACAAGATCTGCAGGCTGCATGTGACACAGAGGGAAAAGGAATTCTGGCGTGGCCCACACACAGCTGCAAATGCTGAGGGACATAAGGTGGAGGTGAGGTTGAGAGCTAGTTAAGACCTGGTCTGAGGAGGTTGCTTGAATTTGAGGGTTTCTTGACTTCTCTTGACTCTCAGTCAACTTATCTGTTAAATGGGTGTAATCATAATGACCACAATAGGAAAGATTCAGAAAGGGCTCAAATAAATATCAATTGACAGACAGATGCACAAAGGAGACAGGGCATCTGCAAACAGTGAATCTGTTACTCAGCCCTCAAGAAGGAGGAAATTCTACAACAGATTTAATAGCACTGGTATGTCTTGAGGACATTATACTAAGTAAAATAAGCCAGTCACAGAAAACAAACACTGCATGATTTCATGAACTTGCAGCATCTGGAAAAATAGCCACATTATGGACTCCAAGAGTGGACTGGTAGCTGTTTACCAGGCAGTGTTGAGAGAAGGGAGCAAAAGTTTCCCCGGAAGCAGGGTGGATAAACTACAGACATTGAACCTATGGTCAACAGTAATTTCTTACATGTTTGTTAGCACAGACAATCTCATATCAAACGTTTTTACCACAATAAAAAAAAGCCATCTGCATGGGAAAAACAATGTTACCCACATCACAGAAGTTGCACACTCTAAGACAGCGTGCCAAGTGTTTGGTGCGTTATCGATGCTTGCTGGGAGGTGACTGTATAGGAGTTTAAAGAGGAAGACTCAGCCAGGCAATGATGAATTCACCAGGGTTATTTGAACTTCTTCTTCACTCCCTTTAAAGAGCAATGCCCCATCATGTCTTGTGACCCATGCTGAGGTCAGAGGGCAGCCTTAGGATTCAGTCCCTCCCCTTCCATCTTATTTGAGACAGGGTCTCTTCATTGTTTTTCTTGTTGCACGTGCTAGCTGACCTATGAGCTTCCGGGGACTCTCCTGACTCTGCCTCCTGTCTCTCCCTGGGACTGCTGGAATTACAGTTGTGCCGTGGTAGCCATCTTTTGTGGGGTCCTGGGGACTCGAACTCAGATCTTGGTGCTTGTGTGGAAAGTGCTTTATCTACTGAGCCATCTCTGCGACCTCTAACCCACTCTTTCAGTCTTGCGCTTTATGGAAATGTCTCATGTTCTCATTTCTGACCATCATGAATCTAAGTGTTGATGAGATGTAATCTCTTTTAGGGGGAAAAGTAGATTTATATATTTCCAATTCACTTAAAAACTCAATACACATTTTCATTAGCTAACTTCAGGCAAGGAGGCCAAATCTTTCTTAAATGACATGTTTAGGAAGTGTAAACCGAGGCCCCTTTCTCAGCCTCTGGGAGCTAATATCCCCGTGCCCTTGGTGTTTGGTGTACTCTGTGGCTCACAGGCTCTTGTAGCTTTAAGTGATGGCATGCTCAGCCCTCAGATGCCTGCAGACTCCAGAGAGTCTGTGGATGAGGAGTGAGTGAGCTATGACAGCTGATGCCTTTGCAGTCCCATCTTCTGTCCCCTACCGAGGCCCATGAGTAACAACGGAAAGGAAGCACTGTCCACATGGCTGCCAGTTGCATGTAAGGTTGGATGGATGTCAGATCCACCTATAGAAACATAATGAGATGCTTAAAACCTTTGGGGAAACCTAGGAAAACAGATCCTGTTGTCCATAGTTCAAAACTCTCGGGTCTGAGCCGCCACCTAAGGGATAGTATAGCCCCCACCCTGGGGCTCCCACTTGCCTCCAGCCTGGAGTACCCCCTGAATCAAGCCATCATCTGCCTCCTTGCTAAAGGCTGCTATCTACAAAGGAACAAGCTGCCCTTGTCCACCATCACTTATGTGACAGACATCACCTGTGGGCTTCCCATACTTCCTATTGTAATGGGACAGAGTGGCTTGGCTTCTCACAGTGGTAGGATGATGGCCTTGTCAGGGTACTCCAGTGATGAAGCAGGTCTGCTGCCCAGAGCCTCTGACTCTATTGAGCAAGCCTGCGCCTGTTTTTCTCCAGTTAACCATCAAAGACACCACTGGTCACCCCTCTGTCCTCCTGGCCCCATGTACTAAATAGCCCCCCACCCCCGCATCTTCATTCCAAATATTGACTCCCTTTGGGAGGGAGTGGCCATCTGGATCTCAGATCTAGTCAAAATCCCCTGTTGCCTATGTGAACTCTACAGTACTTTCCATCCAAGCCAACAAGGGACAAAGACAGTGTGACTTAGTAATGTCTTCCCAAAGAGCAAGTTGACAATGTTGATCATGGACTTAAAAAATGTTCCTATCCCAGAACTTTAACTCCCAGATATTTGTGTCAAGAACAGGGCAGGTCTGCAAGCACTGATTTTCATTCTTAAATGTATGGGGCATGAACATGTTATATATCTAAAATAGAGGCATCACCAATAAATTCTGCTATTTACATATGTAAAATCTTTTAAAGTCATTAAAACTCAGTTAGTGACTTGGGAGATCACTCACCTGGTAAATATAGACTTGGTATGTGAGCTTGAAGACATGCATTTGAATTCCCCAGCACAAATGCATAAGCTGAGCATGGTGGTGCATGTCTATAACTCTAGAGCTGGGGATGAGGGTTGGGGGCAGAGCAGACAGATAGCTAGAGCTTGATGGGCAGCCAATCTAGCCAATCAGTGAGCATAAATTCAGTGATAGACCCTGTCTCGAAAAATAATGTAGAAAATGATTGAGAAAGACACCTAACATTGACCTCTGACCTCTATGCACACCTGCATGCATGTGTATGCATGTGCACAAAAACAAAAAAGTTAAATCAGTTTAAAGAGCAGGAAAAAATAAGGGCCAATGTTAATGTTATAATTTTAGATTAAACTATTAAATCTAATGTAACATGTAAAAACAAATATGTGTGTAGACATGGCATATATATGCATTTATGAAAAGAAGAGATGGGGAAGATGGAGAGGGAGAGAGGGGGGGGGAGAGACTCACATAAAGTTTTTGCTAGTGACCACTGGGCCATAGGGTAAATGTGGAGCTAGAAAATTCCTATCAGCCAGTAGCATGGTCATATTCTCTGTAGTTCAGCCCGATGCTTAGCAATGCATGTGTCATCACAAACTTGGCTGCATACATGAATACTTAACATTGTACTACAGCTGCCTAGAGCATCCCGTGTGGCACCACGCTGCATGGGTGTACAGTCTAGGAGAAATGGGCTGTGCCATGCAGCTGAGGCCTGCAGTGTTGGTGTAAGTATACTCTGGGGAGTTTACACAAAGACAAAATTGTGTAAAGTGCATTTCTTAGGATGAATCTCCTTCATTAATACATGCATGTGTTTGGGTGTGTGTATGTGAGCATTTGTTTGTGTATGTGTGTGCATATGCTTGTATATGTTTATATGCATGTGTTTGTGTATGTGTGTGTATGGATGTGTTTGTGTATGTATGTGTGCATATGTGTGCATGTGTTTGTGTGTGTCTAAGAATACACCAAGACATGAAAAACTGTTCTTCCTAGCTAAGAGATGATTGAAACTGATCTCCTTTTCCTTTCCCAGAGTGCTCTGCTTTCCTCGAATTTTCTATAATGATCATGTCTGACCTAGAAAATATTTCAAAATGATTCAACTAACAGAAATGACTCAGCCACTGAGAATGACACGTGTCATTCCAGATCGCCTTCACAGAAACCTCTGGAGCTGGGCCCCTCACCCTGGTGATGCTGACTTTGACAAAGGGCAGAGGTGGGCCCCAAAGCCACCACTCCCTGACATCTGGGGCCAGAAGGAAGATGTGGCCACATTTTAACCTCTGCCTCCTTCCCTGGACAGAGAAGACTACATTGTGGATTTAGCCAAGTCTAAGCTGGCATCCCAGTGCCATTACACAGTCTCTTTACCTACTACGGCCTTGCCTCTTCTATAAATTTGTGGATAATTCCACTCATAGAATCCTAAATGAGAGGAGGGGTAAGAGCTTAGTACTATACCCACACAGCCACCAGCCTGGAGTTGGTGTGGGCATGCATTCCTCGTGTGTGTGTGTGTGTGTGTGTGTGTGTGTGTGTGTGTGTGTGTGTGTGTGTGTGGTCTCTCTTCTGATAAAGGATCCATGATGGGTTTTAGCATGCTCTTCTGAAAGCTTTGGATGAATTTATGAGTTCTATTTTACAACCTGCTGGCCCTGTACCAGGAGAGGTTTATAGGAGTCTCTTGGTTCTGTGTGGACAGGGCTGCTTCTGCTCTTCTCTCTTCACAGCAAATGCAGAAGAGCCTGGTGGACAGTTTCGGTGTTTTCTGGATTCTCTTTCTTTTCTGTCTGTGGCGTGTGATGTGTGAGTGTCTACCACAGTGCACGTGTGGAGGTCAGAGGACAACCTCCAGTGAAGATTGGTCCTGGCCTTCTACTTCACGTGAGACAGGTCTGTTATTGTTTGTTGCTGTGTACACCACGCTCACCAGCTTCCACCATCTCCCTGATTCCATCCCCCATCTCACCGTAGAAGTGCTAGGGTTGTAGATGACTGTTATCATGCCTGGCTTCATGTGGGTTCTGGGGATCCAAACGCAGGTTCTCATATTGGTACAGCAAGCCCTTTACCCACTGAGCCATCTTCTAGGGCCTGAATCTACTTTCAGTAGATTCCATAGACCTCACCCGAGGTGCACTTTATCAGCAGGAAAGGCAGTAAACAATTGCAAAAGATAATCTCCCTGCCCCCAGTAAGAGACAGATGACCTTGAAGGGAACGACACTATCAGCATGGTCGTGACAACCATCCTCATCACCACCAGCAGTATCTCTCCAGCTTCATCAAGCGTCATCGTCACCATCAAAACATGACAATCAGGTGACAGCTAGTGGAGGTTGGTGTGGTCCACATCTTCCCTTCCCCCTGGTTCTTGCTCTTGCGCCCCAAGTACTTGGAAGCTTTCAGTGCCCCTTTCTAGAGACCACCACCGTTGCCATTAGGTGACTTGGCCAGGGAGGAGGGCATATGGGTGATGGGGCTGCCCTGGCAAGGAGTGTGTGTGCCATTGCAGAGTAATCTTGCACTGGCACCATCGGGGCAATGTGGGCGAGACCAGCACAGCGCAAGGCCAAGTGCAAATTGTTTTAAAATGCACAAATGAGCTTGGTTCAGGTGCTGCCAAAGAATTCTCCATTTCAGCAGAGAGTTATTTTGTGCACTTTTACTACGCTTATCCAATAAAAGCACAACTGTTCATGGAGTCGTTAAGCTGTGCTTTTAGGAGATGCCGTCAAGGAAAGCAGGCCACAAATCGAGCCTGATTTGCTCAACGGGTTGGGAGCTGCCTTTTGTCAAAGCCACATCAAACCTGCAGTCTGCGGGCTCTCCTTCCCCTGTGAAATTGTCACTCTGAGCACTTGGAATGGATTCCGTTCTGTGAGACCTTCAGTCATGCAGAGTGCCCACGTGCGCTCAGGCCTGTGATGTGGCGGCTGACCTCAGGGAGCCACGGAGGAAGGAGGATGCTGTAGGAAAACAGGTGGCGTGGGGCGTGGCCACTGGGGGAGTGAGAAAAGGAGGACATAATGTCGTCTACCAGAAGCCTTTCTGTCTGGGGCTCCACTTCACTGCTGGCCTGGGTAGTCTCATGGACTGCCCATGACTACTACAGTCCTTGCTGTCAAAAGCAAGATTAAGGGCATGGGGGAGAATGGGGAGACGTTCTGAGACCCACTTGATCTTTTTCGGTTCAGAAAACAAAGTTTTCTATTCACTCACCCTGGGTCTTTGTTTTTTTGGTTAAAGTTGGGTGATTTGTTTTTTTTTTACTCCTGGCACTTGGGGCTTAGTCCATGACTGCTCTGGTCCAAAAGGGATTCTTCCAGCAAGGAGCAAGGGAGCAGAGCAGAGGTCATCATGTAGGTAAATGCTGCACGCCACAATTTGCAAATAGTTTGGGATGAGGCGGTGATTTGTAACAGGCAGGTAGGATTTTGACTCTTTCCTGGGAGTTCAAGGAGAGGGGATAAGAACCTGGAATCCTTCCCATGCAAATAAAATCAGATCACGCTGTCCTGGAGGTGCCTAATCTGCTCTGGAGGAGACTACATACTTCACCTCTTGTCTCCAAGGCCTACAACGTGAGAGACCCTTCACGAGCTATTCACGGAATGAACGAATGCATCCACACTGCTGGCAAGGGGTTTTCTTAAACAAAATGGCAGCAGCAGACCAGAAAGCCCTGGAGTGGCATGCTGGGACTCAGGCTTATAGTCACATACCACTCAGGTATAGCTGTGTTAGCAGCTGACCCAGGTCAAGTCCCCTAGCCCCTTGGTGTCCACAATCTCTCAGGATGTCATGGGAAGATTAAATGAGCAGGTGTACATTGTATATCATGTACCTGGCACACACCGAGCATGGAAGACACAGCAGCTGTCTGTATTTTAAGCTAGATCCTTGTGAGCGATGAGGAGGACTCATATTTTAGTAGTAACAGGATCTTTCAGTCCCCAGCAGCTCCCAGGGACAGGATTTTGACAGTGTTTGGAGAATGCAAAGCTATCTGTCCTGGGTGGTGGTTTTTGTTGTTGCGTTTGTTTTGTTTTGTTTTGTCTGTCACAGGAAAGTCATATGCTGACCCTAGGGTTTAGTGAACACAGTCACATGTCAAATGAGGCCACCTTGTCCTTGGGGTGGGTCCACGGAAAGTCTAATGGCTCAGTTTCCCACAGACCAAGGTCAGCCCATGAAAGCCAGGCCTCTGCTGAGCATGGAGAAAGATTGTTGCTGTCTGCTGGCTCTGTCCCCAGGGGCTGGCCCCCTCATTCCGAACTACTCGCTCTGTCGCCGACTCTTCCCCCTAGTTAGACTGCCTTAAAATATAATTGCAAGCAATAGAAACCAAGTGTTGCATTATCATAACCCAGTTCTGAAAATGAAAATTGGGCAGAGTGAGGCAGCCACACAGTGGCATTAACAACAGCACAGGCTAACTTAATTAGAGAGATGCTTTGAGGCATCGGGCAGGAAGTGAAACAGCTTTCAATGGCAAACATTTCTCAACCATTCAATATACTAGTAGTCTTGGCATACTTACCCCTTTGTCCCCTTAAAGGAAAAGTACATACATAGCTAAGGCCAGATGGGAGACAGGCCACCCTGGGAAGCTGGTACTCGTTCCCGGAAGGCTCAGTAGTTCAGGAACACAGAGTCCCAGGGCATGTCCTGTTGGGTGCTGAGCCTGAGTGGTTGGGGGCAGATCGTCCAGTTCTTATTGGTTCCATGCACCAACCTGTCCTCCCAAATCTGTCATGACTGGGGAAACTTTGTATGTGGAATTCACACCCTAGCTCAGAAATGTACCCCTATTTGTTGGAAATGGAGAAAACCTAGTCCCTATTGGAATAATTTGCTGCTTTTTATCACACGATGTTGCACTGATTTCTCCTGCAGTCAGCCTTGTTGCACAGAAAATAATGCCCCAGATAAGTGTGCCTGGTTAGCCTCTTCCCAAGGAACTTATTTCCTGGGCTCCAAACTGACAGAAATGGGAAGGAAATGCGGACATCGATGTTACCCATCATCTCTTCCTTAGTTGCAGTCCTACTGATTTATTTACAGATGTCAGGCAGGATATGGCACCTGGGAGGAACTCGGTAAATACTCCTTAATTGATTACAACACGGAAATCTATCTGAAGATCTTGAAGGAAGTGCGTACTTTGGTTATTTATTTTTTTCAAAGTAGTCATCGATTTTAATCAGCAGCAGAAATGGTCCTAGATAGAGGCATGTTGGTTCAGGCCAAAAGCAGAGAGAGTCGAAATGAAATAGCCTGCAAAGGTAATGGCCTTAATTATTTTTCTTAAAAATTCTCATGATGGACGAGTGTTCCTTCTCCTGGGCTTCACCTTTGGGTCTATATTATTGGATAACAGGCATTCTAATCTGTGTGTGTTGATATATACATATATCATATATATACATACATACATATCTACATGTGCATGTATGATGTGTGTGTGTGGTGTGCCTATATTATTGGACAGCAGATATTCTAATCTGTGTGTGTGTGTTGTGAGATATATGTGTGTTTGTGTGTGGTGTATGTGTGGGATGTGTATTTATGTAGTATGTTTGCATGTGTGTGGTGTGAGATGTCTATACTTGTGTGTGTGGTATGTGCATGTGTGTAGTGTGTATGCATGTGTGTGGTGTGGTATGTGTGATGTGAATGTGACGCATGTTGTGTGTGTGAGTCCCTGACAGCTGCTAGGGATTCTCCTTCCACCTCACCATAGAAGCATATAATGACAGGCGTATGCTTCCATTCCAGCTCTAAGTGGGCTCTGGGGTCTCTGACTCAGGCCTCACGTGTGGACAAGTAAACCCTTTACCCATGGACCATGACTTCAGTGGCAGGCATTTTGATGCGGCCCAGGGATGTGAGAAGCTAGAATTCTCACCGCTGTACTTTCGACATCTCCCTCCCTAACCCTATTTCTCCCCCTTTTCACTGTGGTAAAATCCCCATGGCCTTGGCCTTGAACCTGAAAGAGTAGCTCCCCTTCTCCTTGTTCCACCTCTGCTGGGGAGATAGTCCAAGTTACAATCATCTCTCTGCTGGTGTCCATCTTCCTCTGTAACTGCGCCCCCGGAGTGCAGACCAGAGTCACAGTGTTAATTCCCGCAAGCTCCCACAGGGCCAGGGAGGGAAGAGTTTATTTAGCCAATCCTAGGTAGATGAATGTAGAGCAGACCAGGCTCCTGGGGAAGCTACTCATTTAGTTTGTTGGTCCTGGTGGTGTATTTCCAGCCCCGTGTCCCACCATTCTCCTCCCTCCCGAAGATAAGGCTGGGTCTCTCACCTTGTGAAAGGTCAGGCCGACTTCAAAAGATGACTTATGGGTTCTTCAAAGATGTCTGCCCTTCCCCTGGGGAGAAGCTTAGGTGAGGGGTTGGCAAACGATGCTGGCCAACCTGAAGAACCCGCCCCTGAAGTTAAGTGAGACGGGCTTGTGTCTTTGTCCTTTACTTCTAGTCCCTGCCATTGTTCTTTGTTTGGCGGGGTCGGGAAAGCCTGGTGATCCCCGACCTCAACTCCTCGCTCCAGACAGCGTTGATGACGTCCTGCATTGCTTTTCCTGCCTAAACGCACTTGGAATGACCACTGAGAGTGTGGGAAAAAGCTCTTCACATGGCCTAACAGCTAGCAGGTGACAGCTGGACCCTGCTGAGGCTCAGGTAGTTCTCATTCTCTCTCCCTCCCCCTCCCTCTCTCTCTCCTTTAAGCCAGGATGAGAAGTTGCTGTGTTCTCAGGTGAAGCTCTTATAGACTGGCTGAGGGTAGTGGCCATTTTGGCTCACGGTGCTCTGGAAACTACCCACAGGCCATGGCCTGCTTTTCTGGCCTGTTAATGCCCCTGCTTCAATCCGGCTGATTTTTCTAGCGTTCATCAGACCTGATTCCCTGCTTGATAAAACCCCAACCGTTAAGGGGAAGTAAGTATTTGTCATCTCAGCACCTGGTTTCAGGAACAAAGTTCTCGCCTCGCAGCCCTGCAAGCCATTGCAAAATCACCTTTGCTCAGGGACTTCTGGCGGCTGAGTGCGGAGGGGACTATCCTAGACTGGTTAGTGTGTGGAGGGGGATTCAGGTGATCAGGACTTCCAGGTTGCCATGGAGATTGTCAATCATCTGAGGAAACCTTCTGGGAGGGGTGGGAGGTGAGAAACCCTGAGCCTGTCATCTGCCTTTTACCGATTTCTTGGCACCTGGTGTACACAGCCTGGAACCCGGCTGGCCCTGGTCTTTCTTGGTGGCTACTTGGGCCCTGAAAACAAAAGGGAAGCTAAGCGTTGTGACTTCTCTTAGGAAATGCGCCGAATTCGTGCTTCTGGTTCTCTCGAAATTCTTCAGGGGCCCACGGAACCCAAGGGTGATTTTGTGGGTGCTCAGGAAGGGGAAGGTGCCTCTTGCCATATTCAGTCTGTGAGGCCCAACCACCGACTTGCCCTGAGAACCCTGCCCTCAGAATTTCTAGCCACTCCCTCCTGTTAGTGGACCTTGCCATGATGGCGATCACAGCGGCTCCCCATTATACACTGCTGTGATGATCAGTATTGATTATCCACTTGATAGTCTTAAATAACCGTGGGGGCAAACCTCTATCATGAGAGAGTTTGCAGATGAATAGAGGTGAGAAGATCCACCCAACCTGTGGCTGGTACCGTCATCCCACAGGCTGAGGTCCCAGACTGAATAAAAGACGAGTCGGAGAGGAGCCCCAGCTGCATTTCCCAACTGCAGATGCCCTGTGGCCCAAGCGCCTGTTGCAGGGCTTTCTCTGCTGCACACCAGGAGCCAGAGGAAACCTTTCCTTCCTTAAGCTGCACCGAGAGAAGCATCCGGTACAATCATGAAAAGCTTTGCCTAGTCCATCTCCCGAGTTATGGGGCCTTTAGGAGGGCAGCATTATTACTCTCATTCCCAGAAGGGAGACCCGCAGTTCAAGGTCATGGAGCTTACAGCTGTCAGGGTGTCAATCATCTCTGCCCTTCTGCCATAGCACGTGCCCAGAGGCACACCGAAGGACCCCGCCCCTCCCGGGTGGGCACCCAGTTTTGTTTCCGCAGCAGCTCCCATGGTTCCTTGGGGCTGGCCATGTCCACTCCTTGTCCCAATTCTCTGGAGCTTTTGTCTCTTGCTACATAGCCACTTCCTTAAAGGGACCAGCCAGGCCCGTTTCACCTAGAAACACCTGGTCAGGAAGCTCAGGTGTTGGCCACCTGGGCACTGCCAAGGGCCAAGTCCGTGTGATTAGCCAACTGAACCTGGGGTTTGGGGAAGAGCTGGCCTGGACTGTGAGGCCCTGGCGCTGCGGAATGTCTTGTGTAGGACAAAGCGGGCACTTGGGTTGCTTTTCTGAATGCTGTCGATTCTGAATATGGAAAAGCAGGCCTGGTTACTTCAGTGCGTTTGGGAGCAGCATCCACAGTCCTGAGGGAGGGATGATGGCCACCATGGTCACTGCTGACTGAGCTTAGATCCCTTTGCTCCAAAGGGAAGGTCCACTGACAGGTTTAGAGCCAGTCCTACTTCTAAGAATTGTCTCATGACAGAAGGAGGCAAAGCCAGGGCCTCTTGGCAATACCCATGGCCTCGGCAAAGGAGTCTTGAAAAGCAGGCTCTTTCTTACAGAGTCACAAAGGACAGACACTGTTGGGAGACAGCTGTAGAATGGCAATGAGCCAGACAGCCCTGGCTCTCCCGGAGTGGGAATGGAAAGAACATTTACACCTCAGCCTCAGTCTTTTCAAAAAAAAAAAGAAAAGAAAAGAAAGGCATTAATTTTTATCAATTCTTTAAGAATTTTATACATGTTCCAACTTCACGCCCACACCCCACCCCGCCCCACCTTGAGAGTTTCCAGTTTGTGCTCCCATATACTCATGGACGTATTCTACTAGAGTGAGTTTGGTTTAGCAGAGGTCACGCCCTTAAAAAAACACCGACTCCCTCTACTAGCAGCCACCAACTGCCAGTAGTTCCTCAGCTATCGGCAGGGGCTCACGAGCAGTGTAGAATGTCTCACACCTGTGACCCGTGCGGGACCGTCAATGTCTCACACCTGTGACCCGTGCGGGACCGTCAATGTCTCACACCTGTGACCCGTGCGGGACCGTCAATGTCTCACACCTGTGACCCGTGCGGGACCGCCAGCTGGCTGGGTCTTGTACGGGTCTCGTGCAGGCAGCCACAGCTGCTGTGGTTTCTCGACTGCAGCAGTCCGTCATGACCAGAAGCCAGGTGGTCCTTCCTGACCTCTGGCTCCTAGGATGTTTCTGCTCCCTCTTTTACCCTAGTGTGTGAATATGAATGAGTGAGTGTGTGTGTGAGTGAGAGACAGAGACAGAGACAGAGACAGAGGGGGGATTCAATAAATGGATCTGTGCTCCCCACGGACATTTACTCCCTGCGGTTTGTCTACTTCTGAGTTCCTACATTAACTCTTGTCTACTGCACGAAGTAACCTCTCTGCTGAGGTCTGAGAGCTGTCTCATTCTTTAAGTCTGACAAAATGGGGAGTGACATTGCCCACACTCCCAGGATGAAGATCACTGCGCCTCGCGGCGCTCCCACAAAGCAGATACTCCACTGACATCACTACTGTTGCTATACAGCTGCTCTTAGCTCTTCCCATCCACTGCTCCAGGACCCCCTGAGCTCCTGGGAACGGGGTGGGTTCAGCTTTGGTATTTCCTTCCTCACCCAGGAAGTAGCTGTCTCTCTCTGTGTCTCGGTAGCACTTTGCTTGTCTGGCCACAGAATCTATGACCCACCTTGTAATAGAGAAGGCTCTCGTTTGACGATTGAATGGAGGCTGACAGAGGTCAAAGACTGAAGACAAGAAGCTGAGATTCAAACAGTGACCCATGCCCCTATATCCTGGGGAAATGGGAAAAATAGTGTCAGGTGGCAGTTTTAGTGTCCCCCACCCCCCACTTGAGGAGTCTTCTTTTTATGTTTGAGGGAGGATCTGTGTACCATCTCACACTGGCCCTGGGGTCAGGACAGGCCCTCTGTCCCCAGCACACTGTTTTATAGAGAACCCACTGACATTGCTAGTTTCCCAGTCAGGCTGCACAGCAGTGTATGGAAAGCTCCCCAAGACTCGTCAAAACTGCAGATAGCGCTGTGTGCAGAGGAAGTACTGTGGAGGTGCTGGGCCCACAGGAAGTGGGAACTGTTGCTAACACAAAGGATGTGGCTCAAAGCAAGGTCTGAGAAATGAAAGTCAGAAAGGGAGAAGAAGTGGAATCCCGGGACAAGGAAGTGGCTTTGTTGGCAAAGGTAGGCAGACCACCAGCAAAGCGAAGGTCTGGGGCCAACGCAGAGGCCATTTTCCTTCTGGTGAGGGGTTCCCGGGGAAGGTGTTAGAGCCTTGAGACTGGACATCTGTATATGGAGATTCTCAGACAACTCTCAGGGCATCTTCACAGAGACCACCCCTCAGGTGAAATGTAACTTGTAACATGTCCCATCAATGGCCTCTAATCAAGTTGACGATTAAAATGGAATGTTGAAACCTCAGAGGGCTGACTTTCAAGGACTTACTTAGAAGCATTGTCCAATATCATAGCAACTTTAAGAGAGCTTATATCTCACCGGAATAAGGTTTTCCCTGTTTCTACTAAGTTTATTAATGATATTATCCTAATCTCCAGCAGTACTTAAAAATGTCCTTGCAGAGAAACCATAGGCTATCAAAATAAAAGGGGGTTCAGAGGTCATATACCCCTCTTTACAATAGGGAAATGGGATCAGAGTGAAGTTACCCAATAGCTTCAAGGCTGTGTCTGTTCAGTAGTTCAGTGCACAGTAGAGTTGGTGTCTTGATGTTTAATCAAGGACACAGTTCATAGGGATATATCTGCCCTGTGGGACTCAATGTTTATGTGCTAAGTGTATTACACATATTTTCCCTTGTGCTCCCAGGCCCTGGAAGGCAGGACACCTTTATCTAGTGGCCAGGCATGGAGACTTTGATAGCACAGAAGCTCTGGTTCAGGACACATAGGTAGGTTGGATCTCTGCCTCTGGGGATGGACCAGAAGTAAGTGTCTACAATAACTGTGGTGGTCAGTGTTGTCAACTTGATAGATTCAAGAATCACCTGGGAGACCTGTGTGTGACTGTAGGGGGATATCTTGGTTAAGATGACGGAAGTGAGAAGACACACCTACCATGGGTGGCACCATTCCCTGTGGCATGCTGGAGTCTGTGAATGGAGGCAGGGTGGTAGCGTGCATTCATTTCTCTGCTTCCTGGCTGTGTGTGCTGAGTGACCAGTTGCTTCAAGCCCCTGCCATGTGACTGCTCTGTACCTCTGAGAGGCAAGCCAGAATAAACCCTTTCTCCCTTCAGTTGCTTTTGTTAGGGTGTTTTGTCACAGCAACAGGAACAGAAATGGAGACTGTGAGGACTATGAGGAGGCGCTTCTTGGGGTTGGCAGGAGGCAGAGACTCAGAGGAAGTAGGGCTAGAATGCAGAAAGCAGGCCCTGGAGGGAGACAGTAACTCCAGCATCAGAAAGAGATGAGGTGGTCTATGTCCTGTGGTATATCCCTGCCCTCCCTGTCCCCAGACATGCTGTGACAGACTAAGGTTGGTTACTATGGACATTATAAGAGCAGGAGTCAGTATCTCACTTTCAGGGGTCTTTACCTCAGTGACATGTGGTTACAGGCCAAACTCAGCCAACTGGCTCTTGATGACTCCCCTTCTCAGACGACCACCATCCTTGCAATGAATCCAGGCAACCACTAACTAGGAGGCCTCAGGTAAGAGTCCTTTATCCTCTGTAGGCCTCTGTACCCTTGCTGCTGAACCTCTCAAATTGGCCTTCGTGTGCCCCCTAAATTGGAACTTGCTTGTATAAAGAGTTATAATTTACATTGGAGAACCTAAAGCACACAGCTGTCTTCTAAACATGTGTCAATTACAGCTGTTTGAGGTTGCAGAAGGGGCATGGGAGGAGACGGTCTTGGAAGTAGCAGGAAGGCACTCACAGGTGAACACTGAAAAGGAGTTTCCTGACCTGGTCCCCTCCGGCTGTCCACAAAGCTCTGTTAGCAGCTCAAGGCCACCTGGTGTCAGGACACATTTAGCTCAAACACAAGTCTCTCTGTTCTCACTCTGAAGTCACCCAGCAAAAGCCAACCATAACTCAGCTCTCTGGTTAGTCCACAGTTTGCCTTCATAGAGAGGATATTTGGCCATTGGAAATGGACTTGGCCATTGTATTTTGTCTTGGCAGGAACCCGTTAAATTGATGGTCTGTCTGGCTCCTGCGCTTTGCTCTCCTTTGGGTTGGTTAGCTGGAGTCAGCATGGCCCTCACCCATATGCTCCCTAGCCAGAAGGGGGTATCTGGATGGAGTCACAGATGATTGTGAGTCGGCATGTGAGTGCTGGAAACTGACTCCCGGTCCTCTGCAAGAGCATCCGGTGATCTTAATTGCTCAGGCATATGTTTCAGGCCACAAAGTTCTGTCCTAGGAGAAGGAAATATACCAACAACCAGAGCCAAGGGACCCACTGGCCTTGACTCATGTTCACCAAAAGAATAGATGAGCTGATGCCTGGACATTCAGGGGAAGGCGACAGAAGCTACCGGGGAAAGACTCGGGTCTCTGAAGTTGATAAAAGGGGTACTATACTGAGCAGTCTAGGCCTGGAACTTGTTTCTGTGTGGTCATGCAACCATAAAACAAAGGAGGTAGTGGGAAGGCCCTGACATCATGGAACTTGAATTTGCATGCAGGACTAAAGGGTCAAGTACAAACTAGATACTTTGAAAGGAAAAGTGCGGCATGGAATTTGTCCTATGAAGAATAAAACTTATGAAAAAACTGTCATGTGTCATGAGTTGAGTGAAGACAACTCAACACTGGGCCAAGAGTTTCAAAATGGATTGACTATAGACTTGGGTGCCTGGATATAACCCATTAGGGTAGTTGACCTTAGACGTACAATTGTGAGCCACTGGAAAATACAGGGATTTTTTTCTCTAGTTATCTGTTTGTCATATCAGAAAAAATAATTAAATCAGATCCCCACCTTACAGCACACACAGCATCAATTTAGATGAAGAAATAAAGGAAAGACACAGGAGAGTGTCTTCTAACACTGGGTGAGGGAAGTAATCTAAGCAAGATATACCAAGTTACTGAACTTTGCTAGCATTGCAATTTTTAAACATAAACACACACATACACACGTGTATGTATGTATGTATGTATGTGTGTATGTATGTATAACAAATACAAAAAGTGAAGGCCAAGCATTAAGAATGTCAATGACATTCAGTCTGTGATGCGATTTCTCTGGGAACACACCTAAAGTACAGAAAGCAGGGGCTTGGGTAGATTTTTTTTTAATTTCAGTGCTCACAGCAGTGTTATTCACAAGAACCAAACACTGAAAACAGCCCAGATGAATGAGCAGGCAAAATGGGACATGGATTCAACAGTTTATGAGTCAGCCTTCTGGCAAAGGGGCATTCTGGCCCATGCTCCAGCATGGGTGAACCTTGAAGACACGCCATCACAAGAAGAAACGTTGCATGAATCTACTTCTAGTGCAATTCGTGGAGAGGAAAACCAGAAAGACCAGTCAAGATGGAAGAACATGCTCACCCCAGGGAGATAGATACACAGCAAAGCAATAATGAGATCGTATCTCACACGTATCATATTGCAAAAACCCAAGTCTCCTAATGCCTGGAGATGGCAGTGAAGCAATAAGATCTGTCATATGTCATGGGTGATGTGTGAAGAAAAAAACTCCCTACAGACTCTTTGAGGACAATTTGGCAATATCTGGCAGATGGCAGAGAATGGCACACCTCTGTATCAGCGTCTCCTTCCAGGGACAAACCCTAGGGAATTTCTCACACCTGTGGTGAAATTATGCACAAAAACACTGCTGCACTGCTCTTCTTACTGAGGAAAATTTGAAGCCATCCAGTGCTAGGATGAAGGATAAACAAATTGTTACATCACTAAGTAGATTACTATGCAGCAGTTAAAATGTCCTATATGTGGTTGGTGTTCCTGTGGACAGATCTTTCAAGCACAATGCTTGGTAAAGAAAGCTTGCTTCTTCACGGGCAGGGGTTGGGAGGAATGCGGAGTTAGTGTTTAGCTGGGGCAGAGTTTCAGTTTGAGAAGAGGTGGATGGTGGCAATGGCTATACCCAAACACGGACCTGTCACGTACACGGGCTTCATGGACCACAAAGTGAAGGACTGATTGAGGTTCAATGGGAAATCTTGAAGCACTCAGTGGACTCTGTTTGCAGGATCTAAAGCTATTCTGCTATCTTCGGCCGCTGTCCAATATTTCAGACTATAGTGTAAACCTACATTCTCTGCTCCAGGGTGGACATTAACAGGGTCACCTACTCAACTGAGATGCTTCTTGACTCCATGTGCACTGGGAACCTCTTTAGTGCAACTGTGGGAGCTGAAGCCGGATTCACCTGAAAGACAGTATAACTCCATCAACTTTCCCTGCCTTAGAGACCCAGAAACCTGTACTGAAGTGGACAAGACTGGGTTTCCCACCAGGCTGAGTGGGCATGGCAGTCCTTAGTTGCAAGTGCTGGAAAGAAAAAACATTCTGTTTGAATCTTGCTGCTGCAATACTTTTCTTGTGGGCAAGGGGTAGGTGAGTGTTAATGGAAAGGAGGGATGGGATAGATGTGTGGAAAGGATGTGTGTGTGTGTGTGTGTATGTGTGTGTGTGTATGTGTGTGTGTGTATGTGTGTGTATGTGTGTGTGTGTGTATGTGTGTGTATGTGTGTGTATGTGTGTGTATGTGTGTGTGTATGTGTGTATGTGTGTGTGTATGTGTGTGTGTATGTGTGTGTATGTGTGTGTGTATGTGTGTGTGTGTATGTGTGTGTGTGTGTGTGTGTGTGTGTGTGTGTGTGTGGCTTGTAGCTTTGCTGCATGTCTGTTGTGAGATGTGGCGGGCCCACTGACATCATGGCATATCTGGAGGCCCAGGCTGAAGCATGCAGTCAATCTTCAGGCTCGTCACTTGCTCCTAGTTTAACTAGGGTGACAGACACTGGCCAGTCTACCTCAGTGGCTGAGATGCAGGCAGCAGATCAAGGATATCAGTTTAACAGATGTGTGTCTCAGTGTGGAAAGTGTGAAAATAGTGCCCAGTGGGTTTAGTCTCCATGGTTCCTCTGTAGGGCGGCACAAAGCAGTCAGTGCCCCAACATCCTCTTTCATTTTCACCTTGAAAAAGACAAAATCAACTTTCTAGGGTGATTGAACCTGTCCTGGCCACCCTTAGACCAGCTCTTCTGGTTAGGGGACGGCACGAATGAACCACTGCCTTTGTTCCACTATGGACCAGATGGTAGGTGAGTCACAAGGACAAGGGTCATTCCTTGACAGAGAATGGAAGGCTCTGAATATCATAAGACATGATGCCTGGCGTAAAGCTAGCACCATCTAGAACTCACTCACTGATCCAGAGTGCATGGAGACTATCTCAGAAAGCTTCAAAAACAGAGTCCCGGTGGGTCCACATTACCTGCTGGAAGCAGCTGGTGGTGTAAATGTCCCTGGTGATGCCCATGACCTGTATGACACCTTGAGTTATGGAGGACACCAGCGCTAGTGTCCTGCTGTTGGGAGGAATCCATCCAGCATGACTGAATCTACTCTTTAGACTGCCTCTGAGGACACTGTGTAGGGCCTCTTTGAGAAAGCATTTCCTTTTCCTTCTGCGCCCTTAGGCACTGGGTTTCTCTTCAGGGCTGTGGCTTACACCCTGTCCAATATATTTAGGAAGATGGTATAACACATTACAACACAGCTTTGCCTACTTTTCCTCTCCTTGAGCTTCCCAACAAGCATCCTGTGGGAAGGTGGGACTCCCTGCCACACTGCTGTAAGGAGGGTAGAGTAAACCCCTGCCAGCTAGGGACAATGTCGCACTCGGCCGAAGCTTCCTCTCTCTGCTCACAAAGGACCTGCCAGAGAGACCAACAGTGGTAGAAGGAGCTAAAGCCACCAGCTGGTGGGGACTTAGTGCTCCTCCACGTGCCTAGCACTGCACCTGGTCCCCTTGGGCAGGACCCAGGAAAGAGAAAGACATGAAGGAGTTGTCCCTGGCCACTACCATCAACTTAGGGAGACCAGAATAACCCACATGCAACCATGGGAACAGTCAAGAAAGGCTTATAACTAAATGCTAATTTGGAGGTCTAGGAGTGAGGAATCCAAAGAAGAAGAAATTGAAGATGACTTGGAGAGGTGACGAGGGCTCTTTGGAGAAGGTGGCACCTGATGGAAGTCTTATAGGATGGGCAGGAATTGGAGGAAGGCAAGGGCACATTAGGCCAGGGGATGTCAGTCCCGAGCTGCCTGAGTCTTGTTTAAGAGCTTCTCTGTGGCACCGTGTCGGGGCCTGCGATGTCATGGTAGGCAAGCTCCTTGGCTGCCAAAAGGGACTAGATATTTACCAAGAGTCCAAAACTGGTAACGGTGGTTACCAGAAATCCTCTTTGGAAAACAATTAGGTTGGAGGTTTTGTTTTTCTTTTTCTTCTTTGCGTGTGTATGCAGGCACACATGCGTGCGTGCGTGCGTGCGTGCGTGCGTGCCTGTGTGTGTGTGTATGTGTGTATTTAATGGAAAAGGTTCTGCAGGTCAATAACACAACTGCTCACTGGCCTTCTGCTGGGGGCGACACTATGGAGGGAAGCAATGAGGATCTACTGTTGAGAAAGACATGGGTGGGTTTGGTGGCTTCTCAACAGCGAGGGCTGGGTCCACCTGTGTGGCAGGAAACCTCAGGCAGGAGCAGGTCTAGGTTATTGGATGAGGGACTTTTTTCTGGGCTTCAAGGAGAGGAGTCAGCCAGAGAAGAAATGGACGACAGCCAGGGAATGGCGTGTGGAACAGCGGAGGGTGGGCAGCAAGGTCGCAGCAGCGCATGTGACCGAATGGACTACGTCCCTGTGGGCGCTGCCCAAGCCAGTGTCCATTCTTGTAAAAGTTCTCAGGGGTCCCACTGGAAGAAGAAAATTCATAAACAGGTAATTTTTTTCCCTCAAACAAGTGTCCTGCCCCTGCAGTGCCTGTCATCCTTTGATGAGATGACAATGACAGCTGTTCAGCTTTCCTTGACAAAAATTAAAGATGGATGTACTGGCTAGTCTTACGTCAACTTGACACAAACTAGAGTCATTGCAAAGAAGGGAGCCTCAGTTGAGAAGATGCCTCCATAAGGTCTGGCTGTAGGGCATTTTCTTAATTAGTGATTGATGGAAGAGGTTCCAGCCCATGGTGGGTGGTGTCACCCCTGGGCTGTTGGTCCTGGGCTCTATAAGAAAGCAGGTTGATCAAGCCACGGGGAGCAAGTCAGTAAGCAGCACCCATGTATGGTCTCTGCATCAGCTCCTGCCTTTGGGTTCCTGCCCTGTTTGAGTTCCGGTCCTGACTGCCTTCAGTGATGAACAGCCATGTGGAAGTGTGAGTCACACAAACCCTTTCCTCCTCAACTTGCATTTTGGTCATGGCGTCTCATCACAGCAACAGAAACCATGACTAAGACAGTAGAATTCCTGTGACTTTAAAAAAAATTAACTCACAAAGTTTAAAGGTTCCACAGTAGTTAGCCTAGGAACACAGACAAAAAATAAAGGACAGTCAGGAAAGGAGATAATTGACAATATCCCTGTTGATTCTTTCTGCTTAGGTTTTCATTCACACAGCTGATACTTCCAGACCCTGGAATGAGTACTTCTTACTCAGTCTGGGCCAGGAAAACTGTTAAGGCCTGGCTATTCCTGATCCCTTGTGTTAGTCAGCGGACTCTGGGTCAGTGCCCTCTGGGAGGTGCCTTTCTGTTTATCAGAGGCCTGAGGAACTTTTCTAGGATATGCAAAGGTGTGTGACATGAGAAAACCAGAAACTTAAGCCAACCTCCCAGTTTAGGCCCTCCACACTGAGGAACTATAGGGACAGTCAGAGTAGAACCTGTACGTGCCTGTGGTCAGAGGAATGGTTACTCCAAACATGAGCGGTGCACTGTGGACAGACAGAGCCCAAGTGACTAAAGGTTGACAACATTTCATCAAAATAAGGGCCAGATGAAGTTGAGAAGTGGCCCAAAGTCACAGCTCCTTATTTCGAAGTGCCGTGGGACTCACAGGTGAATCTGGTGTTCCAGACGCCCAAGTACCTGCAGGTGTGGCAAGACATCTGCACCCAGGAGTACCAGGTGACCCAGAGGAGCAGGTAGTGATGTTTCTAACAGAGAAGGGGCACATGCCATTAGGAGAGCTAGAGAAATGTCTTGGATGCACTGTGGCTTTTGTGAAGTCAATCTGTAGGCACGGCATAGCTGATGGCCCACGCCTCAAAGTGCTGTCTGGCTCTGTTGGTGTGTTTTGCAACGTGGGCTCAGGGCTGAGGTGGGTGGGATTTCATAACAAACGTCTCATGCCTGGAGGCTTGGGTTTGAATCTTGACATTATTTCAGCCGGTGCTCCGTTAACGCCAGCTTACGGAGGCCACGCTGGTTGCAGGCAGGCCTGCAGCCAAGCAGAAGAGCTGGTGTAGGTGTAAAGCTGGGGCTGGCTTTTTGCCGTCCCTGTGCTAGGCACCTGAAAGCACAGGAGTCCCGTAGACCCACGTCCTGCCCCCCCACACCAGGGTGTGTGCTGTCATGGCACGAGTAAGGTAATAAGCCTTATTTTAGTATGAAATACTCCATGCACTCAAAAAGACCCTGGGAGGCCAGAGATGCAGGCAGGCAAGTCAATGGCTACTTAACCTGCAATGTGACCCCACTAGAGTAGCTGCCCTTCCCACGTGGAGGAATAAATGCAAAAGCAGAGAAGGGAGAAAGTTTGCCCTGTGTGTCCTTCCAAACGCTCACACAGCACTTTTAAAATGCAATTCATGCCCTCAGTTGGAAATTAAGAGTTTTAGGTAAATACACCAAAAAAAAAAAACAAAACAAAAAACAATGTGACAGATGTGCTGTCAGAGGGGCAGGATCCCTGAGAGTTCAAAGAAACATTGCAGAAAGTGCCAGCAAACACAAGGATTTTTCCCTGCCTTGGACCACGGCACTAAACTTTTATGGTGATTACAAACTTATTATTCAATGCTATTAAACACCTGGAAAGTTGATTTGACCTGTTCCAAGGGCAGACAGTGAGATAGGGTGAGTTGGGATGGTTCACAGACTTCAGTGGACTTTCAAACTGCTGCTTTAGATCAAGGAGGTAATAAGGAAGAATAAACAAACAAACAAATAAAAAGCTAACTTAAAACAACCATCAGAAAGGGCTGGAAACTCAATAGGCTCCTACATAGAGTAGGCAACACAGTAGGCACTAAAGAATAAATATTTCTAGTGTGGAAAAGCCAAGAAGATAAGTACCACGTAGGCTGCACCTGCATCTCTTAGCTAACCTCTGAAGAATGCAATAGCAGGTTCTTGTTTATACACACCTCCAGCGTAGGAGCCAGCAGTTTTGTGGGCAGGCTCTCCACTCAGCTTTGCAACCTTTATTTCACTTTCTGGCAGTCTGCAGAGACTGCTCAAACCTGAGCTATGGGTGCACACAGGACAGCTTTTCAGTCACTTACTAC